CACTAATGTGTATTTGTAGACACATTTACTCATTTGAATACTAACATCAGGAAATTAATAATTTTACAGTTTTACATATGTAAATATTACTGAATATTAAATTATTTAATTACATTTTGCTAGAATTTTATTTGAACGAAATTTTACTTAATTTTTATAAGAATCATATACTCGAAACACTTGAACACCTTAAAATGTGTTAGATATCACATAACTGATAAAACAGCACTTAAGTATTTTGTTTTGAATCAATTAAATGGTATATATAATAAAGTAATAAGAAAATTGTTGGCCTTAGCATATTGGCTGTTTTGACCATTCTACTAATGAGCATAATATTTAAATTTCAGTTTCTTCAGTTATGGGATATTTAAATATTGTATGGTATCAATAAATAATATAACGTATGAAATAAGAATATAAATATTAGTATGAATTAAGGTGTACTCACTTGGATTATTATTCGCTTCCAACCAATGGGTCGCAGCCTGACATCCGAACGTTGCTCGACTTATTCCTTTACAGCAGGACCACTTTTTACCGGTCCAAAGACCCGGATGGAAACGATATGATTTTGGCGTATTTGTTTCTTCACAAACTAACAAATCAATATCAATATTTTAAAATTTGAATCATTACAAACAGAATAATATCTTATTTGCTTACTAACCCTCTCTTATGGCACGTATCCAATCATCACGTTCTCTTTCACTACTCGCTAGTAAATATAAAATATATTGTGGTACAGAGCGTCCCGACAGCTGTTGATCATTGGAGGACTCACAATAACCAACTTGAAACGGAAATCCCTACAACAAACATCTTCAACATGAAATACTTGGTATTTACTTAAATATTTTACTCACGTTTGGTGCAAAAGGATCTCCACCCTCACCGCTAACAATAGCAGTTTCAACCAAGCGAACACCTTTTACCGGAACTCGACCTCGCTCCCGACGACGCTGCAAATAAAAACATTTCAATAAGAAATTCAAATTCCAAGCACTTCAATTTTTTTGTTTTAAATCGTTTTTAACAATTATAGCAGCAATATATAATTTTTCGTATATTCGCTAAACATTTGTACTGAACATGCGAAAAGCGTTTCATTCATTTACAATATTTGTTAAAAGTTCACTGAACCCCCATCTAACGTATCGTGCATATTGTCGCTTACGCGTTGTTTTGATACCGAATAGACACCCTATCCTGGGGTTAATTAATGACAAATGTTCACTTTCCACCACCCTTTTTATACATATTTTATCCTATTTATAATGTTTACAAGTTTTTTCGAAAATAATTTTTACAAAATTTCAAAATATAGCTCTGACGAAGATTTTCCACTCAGTAGATTGCGACTGTTTTATTTTAATTGTTTTTAATACTTACATGAATACCCTCAATGACCGGTGCCGTATACTAACATTTTTCTATACACAAGTTTCCTTGGGTGGGGCTTTTGGAAGTTCGTTCTTTTGTTTTGTAATATCTGGTTCTACCCATTCAAAACACCTTGGGAATCTTCTTAAACTGACATTAATTTCTTTGTAATTCGTCTGTTAATCCATTTTGAATATTTACTTTACATTTACTGTTTTTTTTTTAATTTCACAATTTTCCTGTGCGCATTTGGGTGTGTTTTTCACAATGTTAAATATAACTTTTATTTTGCTAATTTTGTATACATTTTTTGCGAAGGCAAAGATATTTAAAAAACTTTTCACTTTGCACTTTGCTCACAACTTGTTTTCCAAAACTTATTAAATTTTTTTGAAACAATAATATAAAATACGCCCGTTTTCAAAGGGAATGATTAGACTGTTCGACTCGATGAAACTTGGAAAACGTATTAAGATCTAATATATACAAATTATGTTCTTTTGATTGTTAAAAAATCTGTTATGGTTTTGTGCAAAAAACTAATATAAACTTATTTGAGGTTGAATTACTTTTGTCTTTATATTCACTTGTCTATTTCAAGCAATGAAATCAATGTTCTTCACGGTTGCGAAAAACAAAGACTTATTCCTACTCACTTGCCAGGATACGGGGGTTATTTGCTTGGGTGTTCGTATGTATGCGCCTGTATACCAATTGGAAAACAACAAATCAGGGAGGGTTTTCCCTATGTAGAGATTTTTAGTTGGAAAAACCTATGTGTGTAGAAATGACAATCATGCAAATAGTATAATTGCCAGATGTGCAAACCTATCTGTTTTGGAGAGATCAGAAATTTTTATTCAAAATATTATTTGTAGATATAAAAAAAAACGAATACCTAATTCGAAAAAATAATTAAAATGTCTGATATATGTATGTGTTTAGGATTCGCCTTCACACCTTTTCTTGATACTTCGACCGAATTTTTCCACACATTATTGGTGTGAGTCTTATGTTTATCCGAGATATAAAGTGACCTATAAGTCTTAAGCCACTTCTGATCGCCTGATAGAGTTTACGAGAAGTTTTTTAAGGCCCGAATTGTAATTAAAGGCTTACCATTGTCACTTAAGGGTCCAATAAAAAATAAATTGATAAAGATTAAAAACTGTGATCAATCTCAGATTTTGCTAAATGGTTAAGTGAACTTCTAATCACTGAATTCAATATGCTAATGAAAATATATTAGATATGGTTTGCTACAATGTTCATAGGAGATAGAATGCCTAGCCTAATAACAAGCAATGGAAACAAAAACGACCATATTGTAGACTGGAAAATAGTTCTTCGCCATCGAGTAGTAGATAAGGGATGATGTTAACAGACCGGCATTTCCTACATGTTGCATTACTTAAATACAATGTAAATACACTGCAGCCGGTATTTATTCTGCCTGATAAAACCAGTAGATTTCCTCAGACAGAATCGTTGGTTTCAGCTGAATTAGGTGCAACTGGATTTAGTATTTTAACACTGCATACATAAATGCTTATCATTTGATTATACTATAATAAACTGTTATTATGATTGTTTCAGCGTAAAGCATTCTCCAAGTAATATTAACGAATGATGCTAGTGATATATTCATTTCCGGGTTTGTATCATTTTTTTTTAAATACATTGGAAATTTCTTATTTACTTGGAAGAGCTTTCACTCGTAATTTTGTATATACGCATTATTATATTAAAAAATCTAACAAACACTTACTTCAATGTTTTCCATATCAAAATAGGATAATGACTTTTTGGTGAGTTCAAACCATCGTTGTTTATAGTTGACTGGTGTAAAACGTTTTTTATTTTGAGCTCGTTTTACCATCGATCCGCTTTTCACAATATCATACAGCCTTTCGGATACCTTATCCATTCTACTTTGAAATGATTTGCTACTGCAAACTGTAGAAGATGAACGAATGCTACCATGTGAAGATCGGTTCATGTCTGCAGCAAAAGTTGATTTCAAGGAAACTATATAACTTATTTATCTTGATTAAAGCACCACTTGTTTCTCTTTTCAACGTATTTATCACCTGTTACATCTTTAAAAGGAGATAGGGCTATAATAAAGAAATACACAATTTTTACGTATTGTTTAGTTTAGCTACAAATATACAATTTTCTATTGTTAAATAATTATGTCAAAAGCTTAATTATGTTAAACTTATTCTTTCTTACTGAGGCATTATATTTTGACTGTAATGGGATTATAAATTATTGTTACTTATTGATTTTGAGACTAAGTTTTCATCTATAAACATAACGCAACTATATTAAAACCTTATATATACATATGTATACTATATATTATTTATGCACAAACTTTCACCTGCATTGCAACATCTTTGATTTCATTATCCAAGAGATCCTTTATCGGATAAGCAATGGATTTTTTCTAACATCAATATCTTATCAATTATTAAGAATAAATTTTATCATTTTGAAAATGTTACTGATATGAAATAAAAATATTGCTTTAATAAAATATACATACATATAGAGCAGGAAATGTTCGAACGAATTATCAAAACTTATCCAAACGAATTTACTAGGTCTCAATTCTAGGAATTTCAGACTCATTCATAGTTGCCCCTACCCCGACGTTGCGTCCGATCAACGTAGTTTCGGCTTCTACTTATTGTTTTGTGCTTTATTTCGTTACTCATTACTCCACAAATGTATAAACACAAATTTATAACTTTGGTTATTTTAGGTAATTAACTTATCGTCTTTATTGTGTTTCTATATACCCTTTAATTCACCTGGTTATTAATTTTGCAAGCACATATTAGGAATACGATTTTTTACTTTTTGATATTTTTTTCAGCTGAATTCGCGGAAATAATCCTCTGCCATACCGCGTACTACATTTAAGCCCTGCTTTGCTTCGTATACTCTTCTTCTCTACGACTGCGCCAAGGCGATCGTTTCTCTTTGTCCACTTTCGAGTTTTGATCATTGTTCTTTTGTTCATTACTTCTTTATCTCGTTTAGCATTCACCGGGTAAAACGTTTCATGTTGCCAGATATATGTAATTATATACGATAAGGTACAAAGCGAAAAACCATCTCGTTTTTTTTATCCACTCTATAAGGGGCGTAAAAAAATTATAAACATATTTATCCCATAAATATACCTGTCTAGGAAGTTTTGTAGAAATCACAGCAAGAAAAAAAAAGAAACAAGTAAAGGGGATAACCTTGAACAGGGTAAACAAAAAAAATCTTTTTTAACAATAGTAACTTCATAATGCTATAGAACATATTGCTTTGGTATGGCAACTACTGTTGGATGTTATGGCCATATGACATGTAAATTTAACATTTATCTGGTAAAATACAGATTTAAATGGAATTTATAACTGACCTCTTACAAAAATACCATTTATTGTTTGTTGGTAGCATTATTGTATACAAAAAAGGCTCATTGATTTAGAAATTTATATTGAATTAATTTTATTCAATGAATAAATTTTATGTAAATAACTTGGTTTCCCATACTTTATTAATTTTTTTCCGAAAAAAGACAAAAATTTATTAAAAAACATTAAACTGTTTGGTTCACTTTTAGAATACTTAAATATGTATTGTTGTTTAAACAATAGTGTTTCAACAAAGCAGTAGTACTGGAACGTAAGTTTGCGCGAGTCTCTAATTAAAATTGAATTGTTGGTTTTTACGAGACATGTCCTTTATTTTGGTCATATAGTTGCCATGCTCCGATCGCATACCTGAACCAGATCAAAAATAAGTCAACTCCCATTTGAATCCACGACCAGACCGGCGTTAATTTAGAGCCTTCTATTTCTTTCCAATTCACTGCCACCTCAGCAATTGGTATTTTCAAGCGTTCCGCTATGTATAGCAGCTCAACATCGAAAGCCCAACGTTCAACGTGTAAATTTTTAAATAAAGTATGTGCAGCGGAACGAGTTAGTAACTTGAAGCCACATTGAGTATCTCGTATACTTCGGACTGCAAAGAGCCATACAAGGAAATGAAAACCGTGCATAAGGAGTGTTCTGTTAAAAATATATGAAACAAAATCTTAATGCTATAAGTCACATTCTTGCTAAATAAAAACACATTACTAACCTGAATAGACTACGTGATACTATAGCTTCTTGCTCAAGATGTGAGCGTGATCCGACCACGATTCCGTCCGACTGCCAATCTTTTGTAATACTTTTCATATTCTTTTCCAACTTATCATAATCGGAAAATTTTGTCGCACCATCTGCATCAGCAAACAATAGGTATCGGCCTCTTGCACTTAGCATTCCCTTAAAAAGTAAGTATAATTTAAAAATATTATGACTCAATATTTGTTCAACTACCAGACGAACAGCTCCACCTTTGCCTCTGTTGTCCAAAAGCTCTAACACTCGAAATTTGTCCACGGTGTAGCGCTTTGAATACTTTAACGCAAGAGAAACTGTGCCATCACTGCTACCATCACTAACAACAATAACTTCGTAAGTAAATATCTCATTTTTCGCTTTTTCCTCTAAAAAACTTATGCATTCTTCCAACATTTTTGGCACTGAAAACCATAATTTGTATTTAATAATTTTTTTGAAAAGACATTTTCAATAATTTTTACTCACACCGTTGTTCTTCGTTATAAGCTGGTATAATAACACTTAAATGCACAGTTGGTGCATCTTCCACAGAGGGAAAATCAACATTTTGTATCCTTATCGGGTCGAGGAAATGCCTCTCCTCCTTACGTCTTTTAATAACTGGAAATGGTTTTGTTATAGCTTTTTGTACAACAAAAAGCTGACATATTTTTGAAATATATTTCCGTAACAAAATAGATATTTAAAATATTATCTTACCACTGCTAAGAATCCAGCCACCAAAGACAAGCCGGCGATAAGTACCACTTGCACCACTTGGACGAAAGCCATTATGTTAAGGTTATGTGAATATAGGAATTTTTAAAATATAATTTCCATCATCTAGTTTATAAAGAAAACGGTTACAGCCAGAACGCCACGTAATTTATTAAAACTCTGCAATTGTAGGCTATTTCTATCAGTTTATATGTTGTCTAAAAACAGCCTTTTTGCCACTTGTCACTTTAATACTTCGTTCACAATAAACTGAAATTGCGAATAGCCAGACTTAAAACTATTTCACGCTGGGCGCCGCTCTTATTCGGTTCTGAGCATTGCTATAGTCAAAGCAGAGAATGTGGAGAAGAACAAAAACAACAACTTATCATAGCTGTTTTCATTCATAATGTTAAAATCAGCTGTTTTGCTTGGTTTTTATGATTTAAATTATATTTTTTAAATACTCCAGCCAATAAAAATATGTTTGTTTGCAACGTTCTGTGTGAATATATTGTAAAAAACCTAAAACAATAAAAATATAAAAAAGAAAGTCTTGAGAAAAAATTAAGAAAGATAATTTGATAGAACGAATAAAATATACATTGTGGAACTAACACACTTCCAACAACACAGCTTTACCTAATTGAATCATGATTTTTACCTTCTTAAGCACAAGAAGGCTTAAAAGGGTTTAAGAAGGTGTGCACTAGAAAGAATTGTGCAAGTGACTTCCTGAAGTGTTTTTGAGAAATCTCTATTTATCTAACTTATTTCAGTTAAATTCAATATTGACGGTATATGACTCAAGTCTGCAAACATCATTATATACATATATACATATGTACATTGTATGTATGTAAGTATTAATAAAAATTTAAAACTGCCGCCGAATATTGAAGAATTCTGCTTGGATTTCAGGAATTCAATTCAAAAATGTATGCATATACGCAAAAACTTACATACATACATGGTAAGTATATACATATACACATATGGATATATAAGTACAATTTATTATATATAAAGCAGTTACATACATCTAAGCATTGAAAATACAGATAACAAGATTTAATGTCATTAGAAGAAAACATGAAAAACAAAGATATTGGCATGCGATTTGAGATCATATCTGCAATGTACGCATGTATGTACATACATACTTACTTGTACACATGCATAAGTAGACAAGCAGTACTTTTCACCATTCCATTAGAATAACACGAGTTTGTTTGCTCGCCCTTTTTTGCTGAAAAAATTGGTTAGCCCAATTTCTCTGATTTCTCATCTGGCCACTGGCTCCACTGCCTTAAGAACGTTATTTAAGGGTGTGAGTGCTTGTACATTGTGTTCTTACCCTTTTGTAAATAAAAAACACTTGATGTGATTTTTATGATGTGCGTTAAATGATTAGGCCTCTTGAAATGGTTTTAAGTAGACGAAAAGGGTTTACTATTTCAAATAGCCAAGTTTGATAGCCTGTTGTCACTCGTATGACACCACCACTAAGCTAAATAGCGATGGCAATGTGATTTGCGTCGTGAGCAGCTATGCGTGAAGTTAATTAATTGTGTAAACACGTTGAAGGGGCTTCAAATTCGGCCAAGACAAAAGAGTGGGGAAGAGAAAATTTTGCTAAACATTTTTACGAGTAAAATGATCCCCTTTTGTGGAACGCTAAACGCTGCTTGCTACCATGGCGGAAGCTAGATGCCAACTCATACAAGTAAAGTCGGCCATTTTATAAATACACAGCTTCATCAGGCGCCATTTGGAATCACAGCATGCAAATTGGGCGAAAGGCAACAACCAATGTGTATGTGCGTATGTATGGTTTGATGTGAAATTCGTGCACAGGTTCACTTACATATGGTACATACATACATACTAGATGCGAGCAAATTTCGTGTGTGTTTCGTACGTTTGCCAAGGAGATAGCACTTCATAGCAATGTGTGTATGTGTGTGTGTCTGCATGCGTTCGAGTGTCCGGAGTGTGCACACTACAAATCCATTTAAATGCAAACATGTAAATCCAAGCTCGCCATTCGCCAATGTGTCGAGATTCGTTATGGCAGCTTGGCGCCCACACTTCTTGGCCTTTGTTCAGCCACCCTCAACGAGTTGCAAGACAATTTAAAGCGTTTTAAACTTTGTAAATTCCGGCGCTGAGGGGCGGTTGACCGCCAGTTGATTATTGTGGCGAGGGTTGCAGCTCATGGGTGCGCAAGTACGAGCGCAAGGGAGTGAGCGTCTCAGCTATCAGCGAATAAACAGTAAGCTCTCAGTCAAACGAGCGGGATGCTGCGAATATTTCCAACAACGCGTTTTTAAGTTCACACGCACACGCACGCACATATACATAGATATAACAATTTTTTTTTTAACTTTCCGCGGGTTGAAGTCAAGCTCGTGTGTTTGTCAAATGTTCCAAGGTACACATAATCATTGTCATCATTTTCAGTTATTTCGATGTTCATATTGCCGTTGTTTGTATCTACATACACACATACTTATATATCTACGGACAACAACACGCAACCAAATAAGCACACACTAACATACACATACCCAAACGTACATACATCTGCAACTAACATATTCAGTTTTCCTGGCAGTTGGCAGTTGACTAGAGCAAATATTTTTCTTGGCATCCTCGCAGTCGTTCCGCTATTGCTAATGTTTGCCTTTTAACTTTTTTAACGCAAATATTTGCAGTCGGGTCCGCCTCTCGCCCATCGCCTTGTTAAAAATCGCTCATTTTCAATCTTTTGTTCTTGCTGCTTTTAGCAATGTGCTCATTGTTGACATAATTTTGTATGAATTCGATTCGAGTTTGGACTCGGACTGGACCTTAACAGCATCCGGACTGAGGAACCAAGGGACTGCTTTCCTTTTAGCTGAGTTGGTGTATGTGAATGGATTTTTGATTTAGTCGCTCGAATTGTTGAAAATTTGCTTGTTTCTGTTTGCTTATACATATGTATGTATGAAAGTGCATATGTATAGCTGCGTTGTTTGCTCTAGCTTTTCGTTTAATAATTTGATGTTTTTGTTTCTTTCGCCCGCGTCTATTTGCTCATTGCTGAAATTGTAACTCAATTTATTTGTTTACTTTTTGTGAAAAACAGTTTTTTAGTTGAGAAATTTCTGTTGACTCGCGCTACATTTCGTCTTACATACCTTTTGTATCCAAAGGAGAGAATATACACATATGCTGGGAGCTAAATTTGAGTGGTCAAAGTCGCACGTGTCTCGCGTAATCAAGGGCCCAGGCAAAAGCTCTAAAATTTAATGAAGAATCGGCAAGTTCTCGGGAAGACGTCCACATAAGCATTACTACTTAATATTTCCAAACTTTTGCTGTCATCTTTTGCTAATGAAGTGATAAATTGGTTCTATTGACACTTTTTTTTTGGGTTGGGTTGAATAGAGTTCGCAAAACTTTGTCAGTTTCCCAGATGCAAATTCAGCCACATGTTATGTGTATATGTGGAAATGTGCCTTTAATTCGACGTAATGTGCTCATATACTTGAAAGGCTCCGCAATCAATTACTAAAATGAAGGGAATACAAATTTAGAATATGTCAACTACTTGACGTCCGAACAAATGAACGAATTTAAAGCAGTCGTGCGTGGGCCAAACAGCGCGCATGCAACACACATGCAAAGGTATAAGAAGTATGTACATATGTATGTATGTACATGGGATGTGCGTATGCTTTCTTTCAAGCATTTGGTTTAGTTACGACCTTTAGTAACGAACCCAAAATGGCCGTATGGCTTTAATCGAAGAAACCCACCAGCTAGCTCGTTCTTATTACTTAAAATAAAATACATAATATTTTCTTACAAATCAATCGACCATATTTCTCTTGAACTCCAACTTGTAGTAACAGATTACGAGAACAATAAAGTCGATCGTTCTATAAGTGTCGCCGAGTGGATTGAGGGTGTCTTTCAATTCTGGTCTAGCAGGCAAATCTAGAATTGAGGAAATTTAAACAGCTTGCTTGTTTTAAGCTCTAAGTGAATTCGTTGCGTTTTCCTACTGAAATTTGATTTTTGGTGGGCCAAAGAACATCTGGTGCAAAAACAAGGAAAGCTGCACTGCTCTGAAATGAAAAGACATTGCCTATATGAACCCAGAAAGAATAATGTACTTGTTATTGTGGTCAGGAAATATTCACGAAATAATTTCCCAAGTTAACGATCTTTGGTCAGGCCGTTTTGGTTACTTGGGGCCTACATCGGCGATATGATTAGTGAGAAGAGCAATTAATTGTTTTTCTTCTGGGAGCCGCCTAAAACTTGCCGCAAAACATGTTGAATTCAAAACTTGCGTGTGAAGAAACGATTTTATGTGTGTTACCGGCCATGACGCAGACTTTAAGACTGAACCTATAGGCAAATGAAGAACTTGCTACGAGATTTGTGCACTCGTTTCTAGGATGCCTTACCTCTGATCAAAGGTCAACGAATAATTGAATATTTAATCTATGTGTACATATCCACTCACATCCATACTTAAATTTGTACAAATGAGGAAAATAGCCAAACTCTATATTATTCACCATGATAAATGGTTTAACAAATGCAATCTACTGCTGCCTTGTACATTATATACTCGTTACATACGAGGCAGGCGTTACTCGTACATGCCAAATTTCATTATAATAAATGGCAAGCTTGTCCAATATGCGAAATTCATTTTTCAAGCTGTAAAAATAAATGTTTAAACGAATACTTGAGTAGAAGAATAGAGAGCGAAATTTGTTTTTATAAATAGTCAACTTCAGCAAGCGTACTAGAGTATATGTAAATGCATACATATATACATATATACAGGCCTGATTTGTGTATGAGCGATTAGAGCACGGAAATTAGAATTCACACATGTGTACATATGTATATACGCACACACAAACACAACACACATACATATGTACGTACTTATGCGTAAATGGTACATTTAAAAGTGAAATCAAAATCTCATTCGCAAATGTGCTTGTAAATCGCTTTGAAAGAAAACCTCAAACAATACAAAAGCATAGCCTTGGGCGAGAAGTAGAATGGCACAAAGGAGAAAAACGGAAATTTATCAAATCGAATCTTTTGTAGCCGATCAGCGCCTTAACGTATGCCTCAAATAATGACTGCAGGTCTATGTAAACAAATGCACATGCCAAAGCGTTTGTTTGCAGAACTCTATGCTTCCTCGGCTCGTTTCTTTTATCACATTTCTGTGAAGTTCCACCCCACCTGCAGCTGAATAAGAGGCCTATTGTCCAACAGCAGCAACTAAGGAAAATGAATTGTAAATTGCAAATGGTTCAAATGGTTCAAATGGCTTAAGGAAGCTAAGAAGCACTGTCCAATGAGGATTTTGAATGTAAATGGCGTCTAGTGTGCACAAAGCAGGTATGCACATACATATATACCCTGAAGGAAAAATCTGCACAGACTGCAAAATTTCTGGTTCAGAGCCTTTGCTATGTAAACTCATTCCCATCGGTTTGGTGAGTGACTAAAAATATCGCCTGTTTAATGGACCTACAAATTCTCTGCCAAGTTACTTAAAGTGTGTGATTTTGCAGAAGCACGCCAATAATAAAATCCAGGTCCTGCAAGTTAAGTTCGTGCCTAGTGCAGACCCATTAGTGAAAAGCGTTCGACACTGTTGCATCGGTAGCTGTGCCTATGCGCATTGATATCTGAGCACATTTTGTTTTCGTAGACGTAGAACTGTCGTGTCTATGCAAAGTGCTGTTATTTTGGCGATCTCAACGTTCCGAACCCCATTGTAGTCGGATCTCGTCAATAACTTTACTCTATATGCTCAGTTGCGACCCGAATTATGATGTTCATCGATCGACGAATAGCCTCAGCATAATCATTTCGGAATGAAAGTGAACCAGTTGGGAACTGAACTCCTTTCGGGCCACAGGGAACAAACCTGCGTCGCATCATTTATGTTTACAAGTTAATGCAAAAATTATACAAGTTCGGAAGACCACAAATACATACCACATATTACCAAAAGCTGGCTAAATATTGTCCATGAGAATATGAGCTCCTGTGTGATCAGGCTTCCGTGTACCATACCCGTGTATTTGACATATTTTTCATATGCTTTCAATTATTTGAAGTAAAATAGAATCTTGATAAATATTCAAAGAGTTTTGCAGTAGTGCCCAAAGCCCAATATATGTTTAGAAAAAAATATTTCCTACACCAAAGCACATGTAGAAGAGAATGAAATCGCCCTCTGAAATTCCAGTGCAAATATCGGCGAAGAAGCGCAGAAAGAATGTTGCAAGAACACTTGCATATTTGCGATGCATAAGTGTCTGAGCAATAAAACTGCTTTAAATAAGAATGAAGAATTTCGCGAGAGTAGATGGTAGATTGAATTTTGCGTTTGTCTTTGGAGCCTTCGCCTTATGAGTTTCAGTTTTAGTCACACGTAGTGGCTAAAAATACACCTCTTCGGGCGTTCAAAGGTGCGCGCACAGTCAACTAAGCAAGTGTATATGTATATATATGTGTGTATGTGTATGTGTGGCTATGAGTTCACACATGCATATATGTGGATTTGTATAAACGCCATTCTTATCTATGCCAACACAATGCGACTACATTGTAAAAAGTGCTTTTATACCCAATTACAATGAGCAGCAGAGGGGTGTGTTAGCTTTGTATGGACATATATGTATGTATATGTACGAAGCTTTGACTATTGGTGACTGCTGAAAACCACTTGACCATTTGATTCCATGCGCATGCTTCCCCTCCTACCGCTAACATAAATGCATGCGTAAGTGCTCGAGGCGTCCAACAAAATAGAAATTAAATAAGAAAAATGAGATTGTAGATTAAAGTTAAGAGGGCACTTAGATAGGAAAAAGTCTATTTTCGTAAGAGGATCAAATGTTTTTCTTTGTAGTTGTGGAAATTTCAACACAAAAAGGAGGAAAAATATTTTCAATTCCATTTTAATGATTGGGTGCGGCAATGTTTAAAAAAAAATAAGTAAATTGGAAATTTTTGCAGTGCGAATTTAATTTAATTTCCACTAATTGAATATAAAACGAAAACCGCACACTTATATTCCGGTAAATGTGTGTACGAATTTACGCAATTTTATAATAATTTTGTAACAATTTTAATGTATTGGTCATCTCGCCTCCGTACTTCCCTACTTTCATGACACATATGCACAAATGTCTATGATATGCGGACCAAGTGACCCACTAAGTTTCACGCCCTCCTCAGATGGTTCTTAAACTTTTCTAAGGATGAATTTCAATTTATATAACTCACCTTTCTAAGATTTTGCTCCAGTTGCATTTTGAACTTGTGACCTACAGAATGACAGTTGACTACGGCAACAGCAAAAGTCGCTGCTCTGTAGTTGGAAAGGGTCAATCGAAACAGCTAAGGGATTTATAGGGCTCACCTTAACACAAATAAATAATAATAAGAAAATACGATTAAATTTAGTCAACTGTCGTGCAGTAGTGAAGTTTTATTATTTTTGCTATGCCTTATTTCAATAGAACAGAATAATGTACACAATCTACGGTGCGTATGAGTTACATTTATTTATAAGTTTTGGACTATGAATTGGTAATTAAATTTTGTTCGTTTTCGGACAAAGTAATTTTTGCTTCGCGTTATCAGCAACATGAGGATTCACCTCATCTCAGCTGGAGCGTGAAATTCCTGGAATATTTCGGGCTAAACCCGGTATTAAAAAACTCGGAATAGCGGTCTCTCCAACTGCTTACATTTTTGTGGTTGAGTTCATGCGAGTATATTTGGTGCAATAGCCTGAGTAGCAATCTGAGCAGGTGTACGAGTATTCGAGCACTGGAAGAAATTTTTGTAGCAAATACTTCTCAGAGGCTTAGCTCTGCCTAAGCGGGTGTTTGAAATAAGAACCATACTCAATAATTAGCTGCTAAATACATTCTTGATTTTTATTTGTTTTGATATCTTTGCGTTCTGTGTGAACTCATTCATTTTTCTACAAATCTACATTAATTATTTTATAATTTAGTATAATCCAAGTTCATATGTATATAGTTACAAGTAATAATTTAAAAAGAGGTTTAAAATTCCCTATACAATATATATATGTACTCGGGTTCACCTGAAGTGGGTTTACATTAAACAACAACAAATGCACAAGAGCCTCCAAAAAGTCTGAACAGTTATGCAAAAATGTTAGAAATAGATTTTAATAGTGGAAAGTGCGGTCAAAACTATAAAGCACAAACCAATTTTAGCACGATCTGCTAATTCTGAAGCTGCTTGCAGTGAGCTTTGCTTTAATAATTGAATTCATTTGTACTAATAATATAACTACAAAATTATTAATATTTTCGCACTTTATACGTTCATACATACATACATAAATACAAAGAATAAAATATGGAAATAAAGAGTTGCAGATATTGAATGCTGATTTTCGAAAAACTTTTCCAGAAATTTCGAAAACCACTACCCAATTAGCTGGCATAGTATGTATGTACACATGTATGTGTTTATATTATTTTACGAACATTAAAAACTTGAAAAACACTTGAATATATTTGCAATATTTGCGGAATTTAAGAATTGCTTCTTAATGGAAGATCGTCATTTCGGGCTTCGTGTAATTCACTTCAAATTCTTCGAGTGTGAGAAAAAAAACTAATAAAAAAATATACTAGACTTGCATGAATTGAACATACGTTGCGCATAAATAATTACATGAACTGGATTTGAACATAAATATAGGAACCTTGACTGAGTAATTTCATTAAATGCGACTTACACACACATTCAATGCATTTACATACATACACAAATGCATGCCTATGTATGTGTATAGATAATATATGTACATATTCGCTTAATTTCATTCCAATAACAAATAGAAATATATACTACCAACTCCTCATACTCGCCACAAGTGTCGTTGTAGCCGAAGAGCACATACAAATGTACGTTACTCATTACATAACTGTGTAATACTTGAGTGATAGATTGTACAAACATTTAAAATACACATTTGGAACTTGTAATTGCTTAAATAATTATAATTAAATTATGGCTCTGTCTGTGGCCGGGCGTTGATATGGTCAAGAGATAGACTTTTGTAAAAGTAATGCATATATTTTAGCGTTACATTACTTAAATACTATTTGTATATACACATTTGTTTAGCTTAGGTATGTATGGTTGTGTGAATATGTTTAGATCAGCTCCGTGTAATGTGAATATGTATCGAACGTGGTCGACACAAATGACGACGGTTTCTCACAGAAGTGCCAAATCCTTTGCAGTTCCTGTCGGTTCTCGAAGAACGATTGTGTGCGTCTCGAATGTTGCGGCGGTGCGAAGCTCTGCAGGTATGACGAATGAGGTTTATTTATTTCCCGATATGATTTTTTTCGATTCACATCACTGTGGCCTCGGGATCATTCTTGCTTGCTCGCACAATGTGGCGACAGAGAGCTAATTGAGCTGCCGCACATTGAGGAGGCTTCATGGCTGTTTGACATACTGAGCGCTTGTGCGGGGAACCCGAAAATGTGGCTGCTGAGTGGTGTGCCTGTCGGACTGTCCAGATCCATGGCGGGATTGATGCGTTTCTCCTTTTGCCGCCGATTGCAAAACCAAACGCGCACCACTTCTTTGTCCATATTTAGTTGATCCGCCAAATTATTGATGTCCTCTGAAGTGGGTTTGCAGTTGACCATGAATGCCTTTTCGAGTGTACTGCGCACGTTTGTCTCGATCGACGTGCGCTTTTTGCGTCTTCGTCCAATTATATTTTCCGGCGTAGTGAGCGTTGTTGTCATGGAGCTCAGTGAGAACACGCCGCCCGTTTTTGAGATTGTATTGTCAGCATCAGCCAGCCATTTTTGCAGCAGCGGCTTTAGTTTGCACATGTTTTTGAAGCTGAGGTTGAGTGCTTCAAATCGTGAGATTGTGGTTTGCGAGAAGTCATTGCCGTACAATTTTCCCATTGCCAAACCGACATCTCCCTGCGTGAAGCCGAGCTTAATACGACGCTGCTTGAAAGTTTTGGCGAATTGTTCGAGTTCTTCCAGATCAGTTGTCTCTTCAGGCGATTGGTCGAGAGAGCGTGCTGCCGCCGACATTGCGTTTGCGCCGACCGCTTTGTTGTTTTGTGGTGTACTGCTGAAGCTCATTGTTGCGCCGGGTAACGTGCTGGGGAATATGGAAGACATGCCGGGCGTATTTGGCGTTAAGATGGCGCTACCCATTTGAAGACCCAAAGCAGAATTAGGTGGCGTAGTCTGCTGCGAAGAGTTTGCGTTGCCGCTTTCTTCTTCTTCATCGTCTTGTGTAAGCTTGTAAGATTTCGAGTGACGCCGACTAACTGGACTTAGAGAGGGGCTACGCAATGGTGATGACACCAGCGGCGTAGAAAAGTGTTTTATTCCGCGTGCTGGTGTGCCTTGGGCATTGAATCTGCTCGTGGGTGGGTGTTCTTCGCTTTCAAAATGTTGTTGCAGCTCTTGTTGTAGCTGTTGTTGTTGTTTCAATTGTTGCAAAGCTTGAAACTGCGCCATCGCTTGGAGGGAGTTTTGGAGCAGGAAATGTGAAGCTGTTGGATTTTGAAAGTTATCCGGCGCGACTTGACGCATCATATCTACATAACTTTGCAGTTGTAGCTGGAAAGCCTGTTGCATTTCATTGGCAGCATAGTTTGTAGCTGCCATGCCAAGATGATTTTGCAGTAGTAGCGGTGCCAGTGGACTCTGCAGCGCAGCAAAGAGATTCGATGCACTCTCGGATAACTGTTGACAGTGCTCATCCGAGCTTCTTGCATTCATCTCGCCCGGCGTCACAGGACGGAGTGGTGAACGCGCCAGTCGCTTTGGTGATTGGGGTGCAAGATCAAGTATCTCTTCGGACTCTGTTGCCACTTCATGACGACGCTTCTTACTCAAATTTTTCGCTGGCAGGACACAGCGCTTGAACTGCTCATCACACCCTGCGTCTTCATGTTTGTCGTTGTTGCCTGCAATAAGAGCAGATAGATAAGGGTTATAAGAAGTCAGTTATGTGAAGAAATAAATATTTTGCTTTTCAATTTTCCAATTCAATGACGCTACTGTTCCTCATTTTTTTCAACAAATGCTTTCTTTTTATGCCACACAACAATAACTCCAACGAACCCAACCCCTTAAATGTTCAAACCACAAGCTAAGTGGCCAAAGCTTCAAATACACTTACGCCACACACACATATACATATGTGCATTAACTGTGAATTTCAATGGGAGCATAATTCGATTTGACCATGGCACAAATTGAATATTCCAAAGATGTTTAACACTGGCTCAATGGACTAGCGGTAACGGAAAAAGGTTCTTGTCTTTTATCAATTTTCAATATTTCTTTTAAGGAGGCAAATTTTATTCAAACTTCCGAATGAGTGCATGCCTAGATACCGTCTGCATGCCCATGTTCAGCCACAAAGCCTACAGTGTGGGCTTTGATAGCTGAAAATGCTTTTCAGGGTTATATTTGGTCGTTCTGTCTTCGGTAGATACGAGCCTGACGCAGAAAAAATGCAAGAAAATAAAATTATATATTCTCTGTGTGGGTTGACTTATGTTGGCTAATTTTAAGGCATTTAGAAAACTCGCTCATGTATAATAATTGTCAATTTGAGTGGCTGGTGTGTGTTGTGGCCTTTGCCATCGGCATTTGCTTGGCTAGATAGGGCTTTTGCAGGCTTTGTCGACTCGTACCGGCTGAAAGTTCAACAATATTGATACAACCGTGTTGGAAAGCACTTTGAATGTGTGCAAAATGGAATAAAAAGCTATGTGAAGCCATTGCGGCCCTAAATATTTGCACATATTATATAGTAATACGCAATGCAGCACGGTTACGGTACTTTGAGTTCTTGAGAGAACTAATTTCAAAATAAATTTTGATGTTCTACTCAGACCTTGGACTATTTTAGCCAAACTCAATTATAACAATGCATTTCTTAATCATTAGAAAATGTGCTTGAAGTTTTAAAAGAGAAAAGTTTTTTTTTCTTTTCCTTTCTAATAAGTGTTTGTAAACTGGGGAGAAAGTCCTATAGTAGGGACATATAGAACGCAATCAGTGTAAATCTTAACGTCAACCCAGGACATCTGCGCTCGGTACTCAAGTGGCTAGACCACACGGTGCCTGTGAGGTACCAAAAATATCACCTGGAGAGTGGAGAGGGTAGAGCACCTCTGCAAATGCACCATGCTACGCTTATCAATGCACAATAATTTCTGTTTTTCTCGTCGCATATTCTCCGCAGCGTGAGATGCTGCAAACAAAGTCGATTGTGCTGAGAATAAGGAGCTCTCCGGGCACAGTATGTCTTAGAACGCAATGCTAATCTATGAGAAAAGTGAAACAATCCAAAAAATAATAATTTTCTCTAACTTTCATTTTGTCAACTGTTAGAAAACTTGAACTTGAAAGATTCATTATTCACACCCCTTTACAGCGCTGCTTTTCACCCCATAACGCCTGCCGATTTTGCCCATACAATGCAACCGAAATAACCTACATAAGTGAATGCAATTGAAACCCCAGAGGACATTTCGCACTCGATGCTGTAAAATCGGGAAAACAAGAAGGAAGATTCAAATGAAACGTCCCAATTTAAAGCAATGTGTTTTCAATGCGGACAGCATAGCGCATACATGTGCATGCATGTATGTGTACGGTGTTTGATTCAACCACGCAGCAAAAACCCGCTTCGCGCGACTGTTACAACGGGCGGGAAGGGATGATAATTTATAGCGCTTGATTACGGACCAATCAAACGTATACCCTTCATTTTAAACTGCAAATCAGCACTACCAAATACATCCAGCATTAACCGCTCACCGTGTCACACACACGTACACGCTGACTGAATGCTCAGGGGTAGTTCTGGCTAAAAAATACAAACTAAAAACAAAGAAGTTTCCAAAATCGAAATGTATATTACTATATATACAATCCATAGCATATCACCTTAAAAATGGCAATAAAAATCACTTCAATAATGGAACTAATGCAATCCCAGAGATACTTTAACAGATAATTGACCGCAGTGTCGGCTGTACAACAGTTGCATACATACATACGAGTATATGCACGCATGAAGATCCATGCAGTCAGTAATCGGCTATTAATTTAAAACCCTTAAAAGCCGAGCTGCTAATTTTTAGTTGTTGCTTGGCTATTCTTTTTTAATTCCCTTTATTTGTTGCAGGGTTGCTTTTAACCCTTCTAATGCCACTAATGCAAACAATTCTCTATCCAAGTTGCGTCCAATCACCTACTGTATATCCAGACAAAAACTGTGCCTTGTCCCCCGCTTTAAAGGGATCAAAGCTATCTGTTAATTAAATCTATTGGTGGGTTGGGTCAGAGTTGACATCAATCATAACTTGTTAATTATTGCTGGTTGACGTTAACCCTTATTTGTAGTTCTAATTCGTCACAAAATAAAAAGCTTACGAGCAGACGCCGTGAAAAGTCACGTGAAAGCCGAATAAGACAAGCAAAAAAACACGCTAAACGCTGATTTACTCACACATGCACGGAAATAATTTATTGGATCAGCGTAAAAACACAATCATTCATTCGCTCAACGCGCGTATAAATACACGTATACGTATACATACAAACGAGTACATAGGGCATAAAATCAATTATTTGCGAGTTTAATCAATCATGCCGGAAGTTATAGAGATTCTCCTAAAAAACGCTTGTCACGATTTCACATCAAAGTCCCAGCTTGACATGACACACAAAACCATTTAACTGCGTTTAAGGATTTCAAAAAATGAGGAAATTCGTTTTTTTATTTTAGAAAATTATGAATACATTTGGAAATTCGAGTAATGCCGACCGCTTAGGTATGAGTAGAATATGACGAAGTGACAAAGCATTTTGCTATCGAGCAGATGTTGATGAATAGACAATTGTACTCGGCTCGGGCCAGCAACTAGTCAGTCTACATATATGTGTATGCTTGCATATCGATTGGTTATTTGTTGTGATCCACTTTAATTATTCTACGGTATCGGATGCAAACATTATGAAGATCCTTAAATCGTTCGACTTCATACATACTATATAATTGTATGTGTGTAGGTATGTACCTTTGCATTAATTCCATTTTCAACTGTGATTACGCAAATGCTTTCATGCAAATGTGGGTCCAAGTGAGAATTTCATATACGTTATCATATAACGCTTAGCAATCTAATCAAGCTTCGATGTAATGCACGTTAGCATATACAAGTATGTGAGTCTGCAATATGCTTTGCACGTTACTTTATTTGCGAATACCCGGTTAAGGATTTAAGAATGTTGCTTGAGGAAAAAATTTGCAATACTAATGATGTAGATTGCCAAAAATACCTCCCTTTTTAAAAGACGCTAGAGTAACTACTATATTTTGACTCACTCTTGTTGGCCACGTGAGCCAAGCCGGGTGTTGGACGATACCTAAATCATTCTACACAAATTTCTTCTAAATATCCAGGTGACAACGTCCAAAGTGTGGAAGTATAGTGAACATTTATAGTTTCTGTATCTTTATACTTTTTTAAAATACTGAACATCGACCCAAAAAACTCATAAGGAATTTGAGAGAAATTCAAGTCAAATAATAGTCGGATTGCTGTCTAATACTAAATATTTAGTTGAAATCTTCATTAAACATAAGGACTTACATATGTATGTGTGCCTGTAGGCAAATTGTAACACTTTCCATGCCAATTAAAACCATATTATGTAAGAACTCAATTCAGGTAAATCCCATAACATTTTTTAAAGTATGCTTATGAGTACAACAACAATAAGTAAGAAGAGCAACGTCAACAAACCACTTTGGCACGCGCCACTCCAATAAAACCTCAATTAATTTCACGCAACTCCCAATACTGTTGGCTTTTATAAAATGGTAAACACCGTCATTACAACACCCTTTAATTTGCCCATAAATCGCCGGAGCGCATACTCATTGGAGTATTCACGCCGTCATAAAAACCTACGTACATTTGTGTATGTGTGTGTGTTGCCCATTAATATTCACACTATAATTTGAATAAATGCATTATTAGGTGTGCATGTATGTGTGTGATAGGCAAATAAACGCACCTAAGTGTGGAGTGTAGAAGGTAGGAAGCAATAGCAACAACAACAACAGCAACATAAAAAGTGACGAGCACTCGAGTAAAAAGCGCGAAAGGGTGCATTAATGAGCTGCGATTGGCCTCGCCAGCGGAGCGCAGGGTAACACTTTGCATTCGGTGTTTTTTGTGTTTGTTTTTGTTTTTGTACGAGATGCGCAACAGTTGAGTTTGTCGACCCTCGCATGGTGTTTTGCATAACGGCAAAGGGTTCGCTTCCACTTTTTATTGGATTCAGTGATTCCGCCAATGATCTGCTTATATGCATATTCGCATCTCTCGTTGACTCTTGTTGATTGTGCGAATAAAAAGTGAGCGAATGACAACCCTTTTTGTTGTTGATGTTTTCATATTCAAATGCTGGTGCATTTGCATGCGTATGTGTAATCGTTTACTAACGAGAACCTTTTGACAATGCGTGCGCCCCGTGAAGTAGGCTACAATAGATGGTAGATGTTTTGTTTTTGTTGTTGCTAAGCGAATAGGTGGTGCAATATGATTAAAATGCCGTTTAATTTTAATTGTCACCGCTGTCACTACACTTGCATGGGTTCCCTCATCATTTGTTAGTGCCCAAAGGTCAGATGGCGGCAAATTTACATAACCTTAAAACCTTCAACAAAGTATGAGTAATCATTGCAATATTCGGCAATTTGTACTGTGTGTCGCACCTAATGAGATGGATGAAATGAAGTCTGGTTAGGGGTTAGTTTTGAGTGCATGAACAAACATACAAATGCTGACACACATGCACACATGCATGTATGTATGAATATGTTAGAAAATTTATGCCGTCGTACGTGGATATCGCTTTGTGCGTAGCAAAAGCGAAATTCAGCCAGTTGTTTGATGATACTGGTTTTACATATAAGTGTACATACACAAACACACTCATATACACACTTAATAAAATAGCGGTGTAAATATTAAAATATTGAAAATATTGAAAATAATTAAAAATCCATATGCTTTAAATAATTCACAAGGTTAGAGCAGTACATATGTCCGTACGAGTATGTATGTGTGAATACCTATGATTTCAATTCCGTGTTTGTCAGGAGACAGTGCGATCGACTGCTGGGCTGCCGCCACTGCGTCCCCTAAATGTCTTGCTCTCGTCTGTATGTGTGTATTTGTTTTGTGCTATGTTTGCAGTTGGGTGGACAGAGCGTGATGACCATTGCTGTCGAGGTGTCACCGGGTTGCTTTGGAATTTTAATTTCGCCGAATTATGGTCATTGTACTATTGTTGAAACTGTTATTCGAACTATTGAAATGTAATGTATGTGATATTTCATTGTTGTGCCAGTTTGAACCACGGTTTTTGTTTTTGGTTGTGACAAATTGTCATTGTGAATGTGAGCGGCCGGAGCGCTGCATCTGTCTGAATGAGGGTTGCAGCGAGGGGTCAAGTTTGGTGCGAAAGGCAACTTTCTATATAAATAAGAGTTCGTGCCGGTATGTGCTGTTGTTATTGACGGTGATAGTCAAATTTTCAGATAGATGTTAGATATGACATTATTTGGACATGTGCAAAGGGGCGTCGAAAATATTGGCTCCGTGATTGCTGCAAATTTTATTGCTTTCATTTCAATGAGGATGAAGATGAAACAAAGTTGAAAGTTGCAAAATCACGCTTAAAATGCATCGTGCAGTTGAGCATATTAGGCATTGTTAAACAGATTTCTTTAATGAAAATGAATTGCAGCATATTCATGGAAATCATTCATTTTCTCTCTATTTTAATTATTTGCAGCATTTTTGGTCATAATCTTCGTATGGAGAATCTGGAGTCACTATCTACGCTTGCACTTGTCAGATTTTATAATTTACTTTAAAACTATGTTTCAAAGGAATTAGCTCTGTGGCAGCCAATTTTAAGTAATTCACATACATATAATATTTTGTAAAATTTAGAATGCTTTCTTGTTCAATTGGAGTAAATTGTAATTATTGGTAAATTTCCCTGGCTGGTATTTTACTTTTGCTTTGCGAAATTCTGAGTTCATATTATTTAGAGTTTGTTAACTAAATTAGTTTAAGGACGGACATTTTTACACATACATATTTATTGGTCCCTTATTTTAACAATGAGAGCATTTTTTCTTTAATGCTGGTTTTGCTCGTGCCTGGCTCCAGGTCAGAGCGTGCAGCAGTGTGCCCGCACTCATCGTTGGATATGTGTGTGATTAGAGTTACCAGCCCAACATTTAGAATAGAGCTAATGCAATAAGGATATTGACACGAGCCAGAGTTATGCCCTTGCATCCTTTTCAAAATTCGAAAGTAAAAGAACAAATTCAAAAATTGCACACACGACAAACGCGTAACGAATTTCCCCCTCTACCGCCCCTGAGCAGTTCCAGCATCAAGCAACTATAATAAACTTCTCACTTGAAGTCGGTAATAAATTTCTGTATTCACGTGCTCCGCGTACGTGTCTATGAGCAAATGAGCGGGGAGCAAGGGGCGCCGCCGCATTTGTCGCACATTCTAAATACTACAAGTATTGCCATAATGTTGCGGGTACTCAGGGCTCTTGTGTTCATGTGTGTGGATGTGCGAAAATTAGCGAACGGAGGATTGATGGAAGGAACTTGCATGCTGAAAGAATTGAGGTAACGGATTAAAGTTCTGAGGCAGGCACGCGTCTATATATATAACTGTATACACATATACCTATGCATCGTATATAGTATGGTATACATATATGTAGATAGCTATTAAAATATTTAGTTGCATATAAAGGAGTTGACCAGCTGGGTACTTACCGGCTGTCGAGCGTAGTGGTGGTGGCGAGTACCGCATGTGTCCATTGAATGCATCTGTGAAAGAAATAAAAATAAACATCAATAATATGGAAATACCTACATGTATATGAATATACATATGGACATATGCAGCTATATAAGTGTGTTCGAGCTATAGCTATATTCTATTTCCTATCAGAAGATCCATCAACGGGCAAAAGGTTAAGTGGCACACTGTCCAAGAGTTCCAATTCAAATGTTCTTCGCAAATTATTGATTATCCTTATTTCCCTCTTCATTAAAGTCCAGCAGCAGTGGAGTGCAGTGGATGCTCAATGCCCTTTCGGCCACGGCTCGTTGTCCAGCGTCCGCCGTCCGCCGTGTAAATATCCTAAGTAAATAAACGCTGTCCAAGTCTGCAGATGTGTCTCAGCAAATGTGAATGCGAATTGAGTTGGAAACAAATCTTTGTGGGGGTGTAGTTGAAGCCATCCTGATAATGTTGTTGTTGATGGTGGTGATTGTTATGGTGACGATGGTGGTGGCGTTGATGCTGTTTGCGTTCTTCACTCATGTTGATGACCTCTTGGCCGCTTGCCATCACACTGTTGTTGCTCTTACTGCTATTTCGGCGAGTTTACGACAATTTTGCCCATTCGAAACTTAATGCAAATGGCACGTCTTCTTAACTTGTCAATTTGAATGTTGCATGCAATGTTTTTATACATTTGTTTCTTCGCTCCTTTTATTGGGGGGAGGGCGAGGGAAGAGTGTTCGACAAACTTCTTACTCTGTTTTTTTGTGGTACATTTGGTTTTGTTTTTGCTTCAAATGGGCATAAAATGCCCATTAGTACGAGTATTTCGTTAGTTTTATGGGGTGAATGTGGCATGCATGTATACATATGTACAGACCTACATATGTATATATCTCAAACTAACAGATATATGTACATATGTACAACATGCATAATGCAATCATACCCACCAAAAAAGTAAATTGAATGCAAATAACAGCAAAAGTTTTGCCAAGTAAAGTGAGCTGATAAGGGGGTTCAGAAAATAGAGTGCAATAGCTGTTATGATATGAGAGAGTTTTGAAGTAGCAAAATACCTGAATGACTTTAATGAAGCCCATATAATTTCGAAAAAGATGCCAGTTTTAATCTGCACTTAGTTCTGAAATTCATCATACAACATTCCAAGTGAGGAGCTATTGAATAAAGTGCCACATCTGCCACATAATATGCGCTTATTTAAGAATATGAAAAACTAAATTTAAGTCAGCTATTTGTGAGGCAGCCAACTTACTATGAGCTTTTAAAATTTCTTCTTTATGACTTGATTTATTTAACCCTTTTTTCAGTAAATTAATTAAGAATATTTACAAGATTTTTACACGCTAAGGGTATAATTAATTTTTTGGCTAAGTATGAATAAGTTTATACTGAGAAAATAGAATTTTTGATAAGTCAACACTGAAGCCAATTAAGAAAATGTCTGCAACTCTTGAGTGCCACAATGAAGATAAGTATCTGCAGAATATCCTTTTCGTTTTCAGTTAAGAAGTTTTCCAACATTTGCGTCATTTATTAATACCGTAAACACGCTTATATAGAATATGTAAATATGCATGGTACATAAAACCAGATACATACATATGTGAGTAGTTGTATCCGTAAAGCAGAAAATAAATTGGTAGATGTCAGTGGGCGACGTGCTTACAATTTCATCACCGTCGCATTTAGTTAAATCCCCATTTCCTTTCGCTATGTATGGAGATTGTTACTCCTGCCGCTCGACAGTGACACCTACACGCTTGCCGGTGTGTGCGTGCGCTTACATGCATGTGTGCCGAATGCCTCTAGGAGTATTCGTATCCTTTATGCATTACTGTCATAAATAACCTCATTTGAGTGCACATTATATTTGCAAAATAACAATGAAGAAGCTCTCTAGCTGAGAGCATATGTACATACACAGACACATCTGTTTGTATAGTTGTGTATGGGCACTGGTGTGATCCAGCAAACGCCTGTGTCCAGTCGGGGCTGCGACAACTGAACGGGCGCGAGCGGCGAAGGTGTGGAGCATAAGCTGCATTTATCCGCTGAGGCATCTTCTGCATTTGAGCGTGATAAAAAAGAGAGAAGAACATTTTTTTGGCATTTGCTCTTATTTAGCAAAGAGTGGATATTAAATTTATAGCTCCCTGGGGTGTAAACAAAAAAGGACAAAGCCGAGTAGAAACGGCAATGGTCCATAGTTTGGCAGGGTACCTATATTTTTACGACAATATATGCATACGGGGATAATGTGCACTGTCCATTTCGAAATATAAATATACAGATTACTGTCTCAAAAAAAAAAAAAAAAAAAATAACAGCCAAAAAACGTATGCATAGATGGAAAACGAAGTAAAAAGCGAAAACAATCTGCCATTTTTTACGTATTTCATTTGGTGTTTCGGTTGGTTTATCTATTATCAAGGGAGAGTTGCTTTGCACATTCATATACAGATTACAAGTGGTACAAGAATACGTGCTTACAAGCAAATGCACGAATTTCATACACTATGTATCAGCACATGAGCTGATGAACACACACCTACTTACATACATATGTAAGAATATGTAAAGTTGCTTATTTGCGCTCGATTAAGACGTCGATGGTGTTGGAATGTTAGTGCGCGTTGTTGTTGTTGCTCGCGTTAAGTGACACACATACAGGAATAGCGCTTTTGAATATTAATTCCTTTACTCCAAGTATCACCACAAAGGAGCAAAATCATCATCGCTTCTTAAATTGTTGACTTTGGTTCAAAAGTCGACTAATCTGCATACATACATACGCACATTGTCTGGCACGCCGATGATCTTCTCAAGCGTTTTCATTTGCGAATTTGTGGAAGCTGTGCCCACTACTTAACGTCAATTACCGAAATTTGTATTGTGCGCTGCCTTAGTCGGCAGGCGATAATCCTACCTGGCTGACCATTTTCAGTGCGAAACCAACACCGACTCATTTGTGGCAGACACATACATAAATATGCTATGTAATAAGAAAATTAATTGTCATTCTACGGCAAATGCAAAATCAGCTGGACTTTTCTTTGTGCCTACTCGCTCATAAAAAGTGCAAGACAAGCAAAAGAGGAAAAAAAAATAATAATAGCTAAGGAAAAACTGTATTGAAATTGTGGGAAAGTGTGGACATGCAAACGTGTTACTTACAATTCTGTGCAGCATGCAAAGTATCTGGGATGTGCAACACACACACATTAATGACTTGAACTGTGGCTCCCTACTTGTTTTCGTTTAGGGAACAGGTAGAAACGCAAATGCACATTTTGCAATCGTTCCTCGGAGATCAAAGAATTATAATGCATTATTTGAATATCTCACAAACATATCTACAGTGCACAAGCAGTTATTTATGATTAGACGCTCAGTGGGCTGTCTTTTTTGTCTTTTGGCCATTTGTGTGTACTTTTATTGGCAATTTCTTGCACATTATTTGGGAGAGACCTCTTTAAGGCCACCCGATATCCTGCTTGCGGATCCTTATTGGAAAGGACAATACAATTTATATAGTTTGTAAATAATGAGAAATAATGCTAACACTTTTTTGCTAATAGCTATATACGAGTATGGTATAATAGTAAAAAAAATTTATGGAGAACCATATACGTTACATGCTTCCTCCTACAAACAACTTTAGCAAAAGGATTAGTGAATCACTAATTTGGCCTTTCCTATATTATATATTTCCAATAGTAATAAATTTGTACTTGTGCATTTCTCACCAAAAAACTTGTCCTACCAATTTGTACCGTTTGTGTTGAGAACGGAACGGATGGACTACAGAGAATTGGAAAATTAAACTACAGATCATTCGACAATTATTTATAATTTTTCCGCATTTTTGAGCAGGTGTTTACTTGACAATTGGTCCGAGTTCTAATAATTCAATTCGCGCCACTCAACAGGATGAGTTTAGCGCAATCAAAAGCCTTCCAAGCCGATTTGTGATGTTATCGTGTTATGAGATATTTTTTTTATTGCTAATTAAGATTTTCTTGCAAACTCTATAGAAGTAACATTTTTATTATTTTAAGGCGAAATAATCTACCTATCGAAAAGCGATCTTTTATTATAACTTATATTTCTTTATTACATATTAAGCCTATTGTCTGGATACTAAGTCGTTCTAAAACAAAGTACCTAGCGTTTTATAAAAGTGAAGTCTCACTAAACAGAGTTATATTTGCGGGTACAACTATTTTTGGACCATTAAGTAAACTTTGGGATTGAATTAACAAATTTCTGCGAATGATTTGAGTTATTTGTGTGCTCACCACATACAATCCTTAGATATATGCTTTTCGAAATTACCACTATTGTATAGCTCAGGGAAAAAATCAGTTTTGCCCTACCAAACTTAGCTAACATCAACTATCTTAATTTTGTTAGTGTTTTATTAGTTTTATATCGATTAATATTCGAATTTTTGTTTATTACTACATACTTTGCTGAAGTTGATCCGCTGTCGATGTTTCATGATCCTCGGAGCTTCGCGGCGTGAACTCTGTGGGTTCAGTTTTGATAAAAATTCGTTCATTACACAATCCTGGACTTTGGCTATCTACCAAATGTTGTTGTAATTGCAATTCATTATTGGACTGCTGCTCATTGGCTACTGTGGGCGAAGCCGTAGATTGTGCCGCCGCACTCCATAGTGCTTGTTGTTGTATCACCATCATGTTTTACAGTTTTTCTTATGTATGTGTATGTGTGTATATGTGCGACTGCACTTTAAAATATTTATTAACTTTTTGCACAAATTCACAAATCGTTCACAGTCACTTTGGTTATCAGTGAATTAGCGCCCGTTGAGCCTCTGGCTTTTCTTCGTCACTTTGTCAAGAAATGTGTTATGAATTAATGAAAATAATATGTAAATCTCGTTTTGATTTTTCCAAGTGTAGTCGTAACTCGCGATTTATTGTCGTCGGTTGCAAAGGACGAATGCATTTGTCAATCGTTTGGTTATCGCGCAACGAAACCGGCTCTCTTG